AAATAATAAAATAAATTTTATTTTTTTTTAATTTTTTAATGCTTGTCGTAGGAAAAACTTATTTAAAAACATTTATTTTATTATTTTTTTATTTATTTTATTTTATTATTTATATTTATTTTAATTCCGATCTAGTTTTTGGGTAGAAAGTGATTCAAAGGGAGTCAAGATGCTTGGATAATTTTCTCTATGCTGTAGCTATTGTGCAGTTTGTAAGGGTCTCTTGTAAGATGTCATAAGTCAATCATAGAGCTGTATTAGCATCTTAGGATATTACTTTTAAGACAATCTTAAAATACGCGGATTATGAATACCAATCCACTGTAAAAACAAGTGTGTTATCAGCTGTGTTAAAATAACGCGCAATTTACTAATTTGATGTGTTGATGTATTTAAACAACACAGCTACGACGTATTGTAGACGTATTAAAACGACACATAAGATACTCTGATCTACACACGAATTCTGTGTTACAGTAGGATAACACACTTCATACGTGTTACACCGTAACTCAGTAAATTGAATACATATAATGCGTGTATAACTAATGCACAAATCGCAGAATAACACATTTGGTAAAAACAACACATCACGAGAATTACACACTTACGGAAATTATACACGAAGCCTTGCAACACTCAAATAAAATAAATAAGAAAATTAATATTATATATAGTATTAATATATAGATAATATCAGTGATGTGATGAATGCAGTGAATGAATGTTGTCACAAAAGTAACATTTTTTGTATTTATTCTGCGTTAAGCATTGGTTATCATGCAGATGGACAAACATTATAGAATTAAAAAAAATATTAATTATAAGTTTGTGGCGGTGCGATTGCCAGATTGCGTACATTTACGACACGCGTGCCTGGCCCGCGCGCCCGCCACGTGACGAGAGTGGTGCGCGGCGCCGCCGCTAGGTGCCGCAGGCGCCACTACTTTCTCGTAATTAAGATTCACCCACGCCTGCTATATCAAGGACTCCGCGGGAGGTCCTCGACCAGTTCCTTGCTCTCAGGTAACGCGTGCTTAGTAATAGGCCGTTGCCTGGAGAGTGTTTTGAGAGTAACCCGCAGAGTGTGCTCCAACAAGCCTCTAGTCTCGGGAGGAAGCGAAAGTTCCGGCCTCCCGAACTAGAATGCTTCCGGGCCTCTGTCCCCTCCGACGCCGCGTCACTGCCCATCCGGCCCCGTTTTGGTTGCCGACGAAGCCGCAACCGCCATCACGCCGCGGACCAAGAAACGGGGACCGTCCCCCTTCTACGAGGGTGCACGTCCCGATGCCAAGGAGCTCTCCGTCGTCGACTCCTCGCGCATCCGGGGATCGGCTGGATCCGGGAGTTTCGTACCTCCCGTGGAGGCTAATACTGATCGACCTTCCCGACGCAACAGTGACGAATTGGAGGCTTGCAGACCCGCGACCCCGGCCGGTTGCCACCCGGGTCTTTCGCTCGACGCAAACGGACAATTCCATCGTCCGGGTATCCTTAACGGTATTGTCCCCGCTGAGTCCGCCGCCGTCTACGCCCAGGAAGCCGAGAACGCCGGGACATCCTCCAAGCCCACGGGACAAACCACCGACAACTCCGGATCGGCCTCCGGGTCTACCGACCGAGTCGGCGAAGCACTTCCGCTCGCCGGAACCCCCGCAGGGCGCGCTGACCAGCCCCCTGCAACCCGTGGAGCCCGTCAAGCGTTCTCGAACACCGGAACGCTTCCGGGACCTCCGGGCCAAACGGGCATGGTCGTCACAAGGCCCGAGGATCCGATCGATATCGTCAGAGCTCAACCCGCTCCTCCAGGCCCGGCTCAGGAAGCTCTTTGGTAGCGACAAGGAGAACCTCCCACCTAACGACTGCTAGCTTCTTCGATCCCACCGGCGCCGGCACCTACGGGTGCCACCTGACTTACTTCCTATCTCTCCTTGGAATCAATCCTATTCTTACGCGAATCTCTACACTGACATTCCTACCCTTGTAAATATCCTAAATATAAAGTGTTATACAAATTGTTAACCCTAAGTGGAGTCATTTGTGGATCTCTATTCATTGCGCTCCTTCTCCTGATCTCCTATCATCACCTGCGTCCACAAGTTATATAATACACATTTTATTTAAAAAAAAATGAAATTATACATAATATTTATAAGTCCTGATACATAAAGCAAAGAGAAATATAATATATGATGATATTCTTAACCATAAAATTCTGTTCGGCTATGGTTTAGCAAAATGATGTACTTTTTACCAATAATTGAGAAACATATCAATGGATGTGGAAAAATTAATTCACTTACATCTAACACATTATATAAAGAGGGTACGTAATTAACCACATAGGCATTTAAGCTATAATCGTAAATATCGGTTTTAAAAACAGAGAAGAAGAGAGATTTACGATTGCCATAAACAAATATTTCTTTGATTTCGCCAAACTGAGGAAGGTTATCATCATTGCATTCTAACAAAATAGTGCATTTAGGTCTGTACGTTGTTCCATGAATTTTAAGTTCTGTGGTTCGCATTTATCTGACATGTAGGTCTCTCATTCTCCAAAACATATTTATAGAAAGTACATGCATTAGGAAGATTTCGAAGAAGCACCGTAGTACCAAGGAATACTTTATCACCTTCATACAAATATTTCTTTGAAGGTGCATCTGGTAAAGTAGCTAGTCTTCAACACTGAACAACACTGTGCTTGATACCTGTATGCTACTGTAAGAGGTATATTTTTGAAGTTGTGCACTACTGGCATTAATGATTTAAAATAGGCATGTTCAGCTTCAAATCTATAGCACATCTGTTGACGCAGTCCAAATTCTTTAATGTAATAAACGACATGGATTAAAAAGTGAAATTTAGGAGTTATGTACTCAGGGTAAAGATGATTAAACTGTGCATGATATATTTCAATCATCCGACCCAAAAAATCTGCATATTCATCACTAATCTCATATGACAAACATACATTTATGATTTGCAAGAGCTTAACAAAGCAATGCATCCTTTCAATAATCTCAATATCTTGTGTCTCATCAACATTCACATTATCAACTTTATCATTGTTATTGTTTTCATACCGTGCAATCCACTCATGTATCAAAAATGGCAAAGTATGAGCTTAAACAATAATTTGAGAGACGCTCTGTCGGAGTCTCATTATCAAGATGTCCCTGTAATAGAGGTGCAGGTGCATCACTTTGTAAATGCCCAAAGTTGAAAGTTTTTATTTTTAAATTGAGATTATCAATTGTAAATAGTTTTTTATTCATTATACAATATTTAAGAAATGCTCTACAATGGACTTCCACAACACCCTCAGCTAAAACATGCATTTCATCTTCTGGCTCACATTTTGTAACATCAAATGTTGGGATATCCATTAGTGCACTCTTATTTGTAACTCCATATCTTCTCGACCAAAAGACTCTAGCCTGTTTGTTGAGGTGAGGTTCTGACAGCACGTACATGCTCTTGATCATGGTAGAAATACAAGGGTATGCCCACTTGGTGGTAGACCACTGCGCATCGGAACCAGTTGACGTCACAATCACGCAGATTCGGCTACTTTCGGTGCTCGATCGTGCTCGAGGTAATATGGCTGCCTCCTGCTATGGACACATATGACACAATTCAGTGTTGCGAGTCGTGTCCACTGTCTATTCGGAGCATTTTTTATAATTTGTAAACAATGGTTGCTTGTGCATACATTAGCGCAAAAAGTATGCATTAATACAGCCCATCCAAATTTCCGAAGAAGTCATCTTATGTTTAATGCGAATGCGAATCTATATACGAGTACGTCAAATAAACCGAGAGATATCTGCTAAAAATCGAAAGAGAAAAAATAAAAAAAAAATTATCCAAATTTATTAATAAATAAATTGATTATTTATTACGTGCATATCTCTGTAATTGTTTTTTCCATTATTTGTTTCATCGTCCATTTCTCAAAAATAATTTAGATAAAAACCTTAATAGCTGTTATGTATATATTGTTTTGTTTTGTGAAGAAAGCACAAAAAAAGTTTTCAGCTAATCAGTATTTCTTTAGGTAAATAATCTAAATTGCTTTAAACAAAAACTATTAATTCGTACTAAAAATTATCACCTTCAATTGTACAACTTTTTTCACAGTTTCTGTGGCGAGAATAGTAAAATTAGTTCGAATTTCATTATTATTATCAATGTATGTACATTGCGTATTTCTTTACAAAAAAGTAATACATACATCATATTTGAAATTATATAAAATACTTGTTAGTATAATAAGTTATTTAAATTTAATGATTTTAAGGTTAGATCATATTTTACAAATAAATCTTATTAGAAAATACTCTAATTCAAAGCTACAAGTCATAATACTGATCAAATTTCGAATTTGCCACTTAATGATAACGCAGACTGGTTGCAGTTTCTGATTGGTTAGTCTGAAGCCATATGCGCGTGGGCATACCCTTGTATTTCTACCATGCTCTTGATGGCTTTCTTTCTCCTTTAGAACAAAGTTTTCACTTGAAAATAAATTTCTTTATTCATTCTGTGTTGTCATACATGTACAACAAGGTCGGTAAGCTGACACAGATTCTTTGAAACCACTCATAAGTGCTGAAGCAGGAGTATCTCCAGCTACAAATAATAAAGACCCTCTGTAGACTTTTTCCACTTCTTTCACATTTATTGTAATTTCTTCATTTTGTAATATTTTTATGCCTGCTATGATTCCAAGATTTTACCTATCCCCCATTTTTGTAATATACTGTGCTTCACTATTGACAACAAGTTAATAGTTTTCAACGTAGACCGTACTTCTGGGTAAATATTTGTCAAAATCCAATAAAACATTGCGAACTTATGTTTTTTGGTGCTCGCTCCAAGAGGATTTACCACTTCAAGATCATCATAATATAAAATAATTGCAAGAGCATTTTCGTTTCTTCGGAAAGAGTTATTATTCTGGTAGAAAGAGCCTTCCACAGTTCGATACATATTATTCTCCTTCAATCTGGGATTGTCGATATAAAACTTTACCTCATCATTGTATAGTAGATTTCTAAGATTAGATAAAAACTGTGTATATTTCCTTTTCTATAAGATCAGGTACATTATGGTTTTTATGTTTATGCTTCCACACCAGATCTGTCCCAATTATAGTTTTTTCTGGTATCATGTTAAACTTTTTTTTGAGAACTTTATCCAGCATACTTGGATTTCACTAAGGAAAACAGAAAGGATGGGGAAAATGCTTCCTCGTACATTTCTTGTAATACATTAAGATGAAGAAGTCGAGTTTCTGGGTGAGCCTCTTTACTCACCTGCTCCTAAAACAAAAACTCTCTATTAGTGCAAGAATATTGTTTAATAATAGAAAGACTACCATCTTTGACTTGACTGATTTGGAAAACAAAATTCTTCATCAGTCTAGACATTAAATAAAATACGTACCAAGACGATTGATGAAAAATCGGTTAATAGAGATCGCACCCCATCAATAATGTACTTAAGAGCAGTATGAGACATTTTACACGTCTCACGAATGTGAATCAGCAATCTCGCTGCATGCCATTTCAAAAGTTCTGCTACAGTAGAAATCAAATATTCTTATAAGGGAACAGCACGTACACTGAAACACCAATATGGTTAAGATTTGATAAATATGTTGTACGTTATAGTCTATATGATATACAAAAAAAATTAAATTAAATTGCTAATAATATATATAATAAAAGTTAATTTATAAAATTATTTTTTTATTAAACTTATTTATTACAAAATAAAATTATTTATGATGTTTTTAGTTGTCTTAAATTATACATGGAAAACAATAATTATTATTACAATGATTACATCTGACGAATAAATTATTTTCGCAAATTTTACATTGTTTTGTAACATATCTAAAAACATACTTGAAAACTTAAGTAACGTACTACATACCTATAAACCTTAGCCAAATCATTGTACCGTCCTCTTGATAGTTCTGATTAAAAACACTACGCAATATTAAAAAAAAATAATTCTAGAGTAAAATGTTTTGCTTAATACATAAAAAAAAAGAAATATTATACAACCTCTTTTTGCAGAACTGCCTTTGGATTAAAAAAATCCATGAGCATTCAAGGATGCAGCAAATATTTGACACTATTCGATATTTGACTTATTCGGTTGCCTTGACCGAATATTCGGTTTGGCCGAATATCAACATTGTGACGGTTCGCTTTTCTTGCGCTCGGATATGCTCGTCGGGCCAGGTATGCAAGAAGGCGTGAGACAATCAATGCGTATTAGCGAGATCTTACCGAGGCTTAGAGAAGCGGTCGGTAAGTCGGCCGGGCCGGTTCGGAAGTCACGGTCGGCAAGCGCGGTGCTTGATGCGTTTCGGTCGGTAACACGCGGAGCAGGTGAGGGGCCGGAAGGCCCCCGCAGGGCGGATATAATACGGCAGCGTGGCACCTAGGCGCAGCAAGATCGAGAGCTGGCCTATGTCGGCCGGGCACCCCGGCCCGACAGTGATGGAGAAGCCAGGCGCTCTGGCCTTCTTCGTGTGCGCGGTATTGGTGCCACGAGGTACCCTGATCGGATGGAAGGCGAAGAAGCCGGGCGCCCTGGCTCTCTTCGCTGGATGCAGGAGAGGTGAAGAAGTCAGGCGCCCTGACTCTCTTCGCAAGGGGCGCGAGGAAGCCAGGCGCCCTGATTCTCTTCGTAGGAGGAACGGTCTCGACAGGAGTAGGTTCGGGACCGGACTGGTAGCCGTCGCTCCGCGGCGGCGGCTTACATACCCCCGCCGATGGGCTTGGCGGGGGCTGCGGAGAGGGGGTTGCCCACACATAACACGCTCGGCGCGCGTGTTTAGTCGAAGT